CAGCAACACCAGCTGCGGCGGCTACAGCATGCTGTAGTGGCAAGAACTCAGCGGCGGCAGGTGTAGTGGCGGCAGATGCACCAACGGCATGTGCAACAGCGACAGATGCAACGGCAGGTGCAATAGCGACATATGCAACGACGACAGGTGCAGCAGCGGCAGTTGCTTAGTGGCGGGAGACGAGGAGAGAGATGGAGTGAGGAAGAGGGGAGGAGGAGGAGGAGGAGGAGGAGGAGGAGGAGGAGGAGGAGGAGGAGGAGGAGGAGGAGGAGCGTGCTCGTCATCTATCACGGCCGCCGCCATCCCCACGATGGGCGACGGGCATAGCGGATGTAGCAGAGGCGCTGTAGGTGTGACCGGTTTTCGGGGCCGCAACTGAGCGCATCAAGGTGGGTGGGACGGTCGCGTAGCAGGTTGCAGCCGGCAGTCACGCTGCAGGCCGCGACGGTCGTAACGTTGGTCTCCTCAGTTGCGCAGCTCGCTTGAAGCTGTCCTGCCACAGTCAAAAGAACTTAGAGATCAGGGTCCTCGCTAGTGTTTGAACTTGCCTGATGCATCAGAAGGGCCCTGCTGGCCCGTCTGATCCATCATAAATTTTCGAAATGCTTGTTTGGTAAATCAGACGTTTACAAAACCTAAACCTGAATGTCATTTTTTACAATTTTTACAAAATCAAAACCAAAAACAGATTATATAAACAACAGCAACCATTGGTTAAAAAATAAAAAAAAATCACACATGCTTACATGGCAGAGCGCTGAAGAGCTCGCACAAATCGGCGTTGAAGAGCTTGCACAATGAGGCGAACCACGCTGCGCAGATGCGCTCTCGCTTGGCCACGCCACCTCGGTAGCATCCGGCAGATACAGCTTTGCCCCATCAAGAGAGTTGAGGCTGCGAAACTTGAAAAGCAGCCTGTCAATAACATCATGCTCAAACAGGGATGCAAGGGTCTCGCAACATTCTAAATCACCGCCAGAGTCTTGGCCATCCAGAGGCAGCTCTTGAAGCTTGAATCGGTGCGTCACGGCGTTGCCCTCCCCGTCCATCCCCTCCACTGTAACGAGGCGACAAGAAGGGAGTGTACGCTGCTCGGGAAAAGAGCTGAGATGATCGCGGTCCTCGGCGAAGTTGACTCCGTGCTCGATGTTGCGTGCCTTCAACTTCCTGCAGGTGTTTTGGATCATCCCCATCACCCTGGTAATGTCGAGCTGCAATAATAGTAAAAGCCAAATGGTTAAATAACGGTACGTTAAAACATACAAAATAAACAAATATATATTGAGATTGAAATTAGACGTTTACTCACCGCTCGCTTCTGAAACATTTTGTTAAGCTCATTGAGCTACTTCAAGAAGTTTTCAAGGAAAAACAAGAAAAGGTGAAACTTGAAGCTCGTCATGACGTGGTACATGCCTTTGTCTTGCTCCCACAACAAGACGATGTCAAACGGGAGTAGTCAGATGTGGATCAAAGACATCAGATGGTTGTCACAAGGTGGGCCGCACTGTAGAGTCGACGATGTTGAAGTAGGAGTAGTTTAGTGCGGCATCTTTGGCCGTTAGCGCCTCCCTGCACATAGAAAAAAGGTGATAATAACAAAAAAGGTGATAAAAACAAAAAGGTGTCATCTTGCAGGGTATAACATATCGCAGCATTTGCATAACAAGAAATGCGTACCTGTGCGCGAAGAAGTGACAAGCAAGCAGGTGCGGCACCCGCATCCGCAGCTACACCACGATCCCATTTTGACATTTTGAGTGCCGGTCATCACATTAGCACCGTCCGTACTGATGCCCCAAATCTTGCGAATGTCTAATCATGTGCTCTCTAGATGCGCCAGTACCAAAATATGAGAGCTGGCATCGCATTTCTCTACGGTGAGGTGACCAAAGAACTCGGTCATCACCTTGACTTCTTTCAAGAATGTTATGTTAACGATCATGTGCTCCCCCCTCCTCTAATCAGTCGACAACGAAATATTTCATCTGCCGCGTCTTCAAATGCTTCACGACCGCCTCCGTCATCTCTCAAAATCCATATCTACACATATATGTATTTAAAAAGTTGAATTAGATTAGGATACAATCGAAAACATGGATACGGCCCTATACACTACTCACTCTGAGTGTTATGTGTCGATAGCCTTGTCAGGGATGTGCGGTGTCTTCAGTCGGTGAAGCAAGTGAACGAGACCAACAAACAAAGCTATAGGAGCATTAAACTAGCAAATGAAATGAAGCAGTTGCTTTAAACCCAATACATCACCATCTCCGTCCTCAAATTCCTCAATACCCTGTTGTGGTACTCTCGCACCTTCCGTTTGCGCTTTCCCCTCGATGGCGTCTTGATGCTTATGACTCAAACCATGCTTGCACATGGTTTGTTTCTGGATGTCGATGCCGCCTTCGCCATTTTTACCGTACTGCCAGTTTGATTGCCCATGCTTTATGCATATGCTGCATTTCATGCACGGGCGGCCATGTTTCCACTGCGATATCACCAGCCAGGGGAAGCGTCATAGCAGCTGCCTGAGCGCAGTCTGGTGTTGCGGGTGTTCGTGCTCGAGCTTGCGAGATGTGGATGTGGGGCACGCGAATTCGAACAAACCTGATGGTGCTCTGAGTGAGTCGCTCGAACTTCGGAGATGGTGCAGCGCCTGCTGATCCGACCGCACTGACAGACGATGTAGCAACGCTCCCTGTGTTTTTACAGGGCGTCTCTTACAAGGGGGGATCACTAAGCGCACGGCGGTTGTTCACTTCCGGCCATGGCTCTATACTCGCCGTCGTCGCATTAGTCGGGACCGTTGGCAGATTAGCAGCAGATAACACAGGTGTAGCGGGAGGAGGGTGGCGTCAAAGAAAGTCTAAGCCCGAAGGAGTGATGGGCGTGGAGGTGAATTGGGAGAATGTGGAGCGGACGTTGCAGGGTCGCTGTCCCCAACATCCATGGCGAAATTTCCTTGGGGGATGGAGGGTGCAGCTGGAACGAACATGTGAAATCTAAGGCTACGAGGCTTGTTGATGCACTAGCTGGCACATCAAACCAGCCATTTTCACGAAGATTCGGTTCAATGTCCTACACACACCATGGTGCCCCATAACCACCCTCGCAACCGTCATGTGGGTGGGGGCATTGTCGATGCGAGCAAGGTCGTCCCTAGGATCTGAGTGGTGTCTGATGCATCAGACGGGTCCCACCCGTCAGATTAATCCAGAAGAACATGTCTAATTATCAACCATACATACAAAAAATGTCTGCTAGCGACGACCCTGGATGCGCGTCACAAGCTCGCAGCCATCGAATTTTCCACCCTACTGTACTAGACTGCCCAATAGCAAGGAATACAGCTGCTGATTCATCAGAAATTGGGCAAGGTGGGTTGAATCTAACTCAGCCCAACGTGCACTTGATTGCTATTACCGCGCTCCTACGTGGCGTCGCGTCGAACAAGCGCAGAGATTTACAGTGACTTCCGTGATTGACGCAATTGCTGTAAGTGCGCCTTCAATCTCGGCTGAGGCAGGAAGATTCAGTTTCAAACAAAACGAATACAAGGACCGGGAAAAGCAAATTATACAGTGACTAAACATGCATCCTTTTCCCGACCAATAAGAAATCATAGAAATTTATTTCTAAAAAATCAACTATTTGAAAAAAAAAAAAGAAAGACGCTTGATTTCTCAGAAAAGCAGACGGAAACGTATGAGTGCGATGACACTATCTTAGATCATAGGGCCATACTGATCTGATACCATGCTATAATAGTTTTAGAAGGTTTAGGATCTTAAATGGTCTTAGAAAGGTCGAGAAAGGAAAGAAGAGGTCCATAAGAATGGCAGGAAAGAAGTACAAGCAACAGGCAAGGTGCACTAGTAAGCAGTTATAAGAAATAACTACACTAAGATATGCTGCAATCAATTGATAAATAAAGTATTTTAAATATTATTTATAATAGAATTAAAAAATATGGAATTCCAAATATAACTTCTGAGTTATTATGATTTTCATATTTTTCGGAATGTAATGTTAAACCTGTGAAATGTATCACCAGGAAATTGCCATGAAGATATAGAGCTATTGCATGGTATGTAGCTCATATGCTGCATTCGTTATTGGTACTATGCGCAGTCGCGTTGAAAGGTGTATATACCAGTAATCCTTGGGGGACACGCACCGATGCTGGTGTCCCAGTTTCCCTATCATTCCGTTTCATTTGTCAAGCAGAGCGCATTGCCCGAGGTTGGTGGAGTCCACTGTCCAGAAATATTGTCGCTTCTCATTTCTGAGAGGATACTGTACAACCTCGCTGCCCACCCACCTGAAGAAACTCTCCCCAAAAACTCAGTGGCGCTGGAGTTGGAGGACTTTTGTCCTTTTCAGATGAATCAGACGTCCAGAACATCTGTCACGAAAATATGTTGGGATTGACGAAAGCTGGCGAGATTGACTGATCCGAGTTGGTACACCGTTTGTTCCACAGTACCGCGGAGAAGCGGCTTCGCTCTGGTTTGTAACCAGGATGTAAAGATCGAGCTTTCGCGCGTAACGAATTGGTCAATCCTGCGACTCGCCACATCCCCCAAGCTCACACCTGGGAAATTTGAGTTGCGAATGCTTGAGTCCTGTCGTTGGGCTGTGCCTGACTCGCGCAGGTGGTTTCATCAGAACCTGAAGAACTGAACGAGCGAGGCTCCCCATGCCAGGCACGTAGTCAAAATCTACGTTGCGGATACGACAGCAACAGCCCTAACCAGCCTAGCCCCATCAGTCGGATAGGCGTACGAGAAGTCACCTCTAGATGACTTTGATCTTGCGAGTTTTGCAATTGCATCACCCCACTCCTTCCCCATCTATCACTAACCGCTCCTAGATCTTCTGCAGTAGTCTAGAGGGAGGTCTTCTGTAACTCACAAGCACATTACCTCCCCGAAAAATAGGGTGCAAAGTCCTGACAGGTTAAACAGCTCTCGCAGATTAGGGCAGGGAGAGAGACGATGAAGATCTCTCAGCTTCTCCAAGTGATTACCGTAGCGCTGCTGGTTATTGCGCTTTTGCCCGAGTATGGCGCCGCATCAGTCGATGATATTGGCCTGAACGCCGATTTCGAGGTCAGTCGGCTGCTCACCTTCGTCAAGATCTTAGCGTTATTTTAGAGTTTAGCCAGCGTTGCCGCGAAGGCGCCTTTCCCGGTCAGGAAATTCTGGGCTATTAGTTGTTCACTCTCCAGATCCCCAACCTTTTTCGAATTCTGAGTATTCATTCGCTCCTTCTCGCTCCCATCCGTCAATATTTCCTAAATGTCTCGGCCCTCCTTCTTTCTGCCTTTCCCCTCATGTCATTGTGCAGCGATTTGCTGTCCGATCGTCACGCGGTAATGCACGCCTACGGCGGATGAGGATTCTTGCTGGTAGCAGCACCACTTCCGCCGGCGGAACGAAGACCACCGGCACCACCGCTACGGGCACCACTGGCACCACCGCTTCCACCGGTACCACCGGTGGCACGAAGACCACCGGTACCACCGCCACGGGCACCGTCGGCAGCACCACCGCCACAGGCACCGTCGGTAGCACCGGCTCCGGCGGCAGCACGGCCACCGGCGGCGGCAGCTCCACTTCCGGCGGCAACACGGTCACTGGCGGCGGGAGCACCACTTCCGGCGGCAACACGAACACCGGCGGCGGAAGCACCACCTCCGGCGGCAACACGAACACCGGCGGCGCGAGCACCACCTCCGGCGGCAACACAAACACCGGCGGCGCGAGCACCACCTCCGGCGGCAACACGAACACCGGTGGCGGCAGCACCACTTCCGGCGGCAACACGAACACCGGCGGCGGGAGCACCACTTCCCGCGGCAACACGAACACCGGCGGCGGGAGCACCGCTTCTGGCGGCAACACCGACACCCGCGGCAGCTCCGCTTCGGCCGGTAACACGAACAGCGGTGGCAGCTCCGCTTCGGCCGGTAACACGAACAGCGGCGGCAGCTCCGCTTCGGCCGGTAACACGAACAGCGGCGGCAGCTCCGCTTCGGCCGGTAACACCAACAGCGGCGGCAGCTCCGCTTCTGCCGGTAACACCAACAGCGGCGGCAGCTCCGCTTCGGGCGGCAACACCAACAGCGGTGGCAGCTCCGCTTCGGGCGGCAACACCAACAGCGGCGGCAGCTCCGCTTCGGGCGGCAACACCAACAGCGGCGGCAGTTCCGCTTCGGGCGGCAACACCAACAGCGGTGGCAGTTCCAACTCGGGCGGCAACACCAACAGCGGCGGCAGTTCCAACGCTGGCGGCAACACCAACAGCGGCGGCAGTTCCAACGCTGGCGGCAACACCAACAGCGGCGGCAGTTCCAACGCTGGCGGCAACACCAACAGCGGCGGCAGTTCCAACGCTGGCGGCAACACCAACAGCGGCGGCAGCTCCAACGCGGGCGGCAACACCAACAGCGGCGGCAGCACTGGCACTACTGGGGACGTGCTGCTGCAGCCCAATGGCTGCCTGCAGAACCAAACCCTCTGTGGCTCGTAAGTCTTCACATGATTCTGCATCTGCTGTTCCACCTTGTTTCTTTTATTCTTTTCTTTTTTTTTTTTTTTTTTTTCTTGATCTGTGTTTGGGCTTATCTAACTGATTCTTTCTCTTGTGCTGTGCTTGCAGTCTCTGCGCCTACTTGAAGTCGGATCCAAACCATTGCGGCAGCTGCAACCGATACTGCGCCACCGATTTCATGTGCTGCTCCGCCACCTGCACTTCGCTGCTCACCGACAGGAAGAACTGCGGCAAATGCGGCAGGTTCTGCCGCGGAACCTGCATCGCTGGCGTTTGCGACTATGGTACCGCCGGCACGCCGTTGAAGTAACCAGGTTACCATTTGTAACTACCAGTCGCGTTACCATCGGATTTGATTTGGTTGTTTGCGGCAATGGGCCTGCCTCAGAACCAAAGGCTCTAGTATCCCACACGCCCTACTTGAAATTTGTTCTGCTATTTTGTACTTTAAAGCCCTCATCCCCCTGTCATCCAGATGTATTACAGTGTCTAAGAGATGCTGGTTACAATAATGTCTTACAGGTGCTTAGTTTCCATTCGTTTGTTTGTTTCTTCTGTACGTTCTTAGAACAAGACTAAGAAACATGGCACGTACAGAAAGAAACTTTCGACGCGTTTAAGTTATTAGGTATAAAGTTGCAATCGTACGGAATTAATCAAACTTGCAAAATCCGCCTTCGGATATTAGTTACGCGAGTTCCAAGTCTTGCACGTATTAGTTGGTTGCTGTTTGTCGCTGCCCTAAACCAAATCAACAATAGCTTCCAGCTCGATGCTGGACGTTTGGAACCGACGGAGCATCGGTGATAGACGTCCAGCCGTCAAAAGACCGACGCTGTCAATTCCCCTGCGCATTTGACGGACCGTCGGGCTGTTTCGACGGCCCGACTAATCTCCTGAGAATCACTCACCTGCGGCAACCGAACTAAAATTTCCCCTGAGTACGGGTTACCAATCTGGCGTTTAGCGCTGGCAGGAAAACCCACATCGCTTTCACGAACGTGTGCGTTTCCTTCCACCTTCCGCTCCGCACCCCCGTTGCGACCACACTCCGTCGTGCGAAATATGACACCCAGCTGGCAGTCGTCGTCAAGCCAGTTGGCTAGGTCCGATTGACGATGACAGCTAAGGTTGTCGTATGATCGACTTTCGCGTAACCAAACGCGATGAAAGTTCCCAACTGCGATTTCAATGCCTTGAAACTCACCTCCTCGGTCAAGCCCTTGAATATAGCAAGAAAGTAGAAGTGTAAACTGTTTCGAGTCTTTGGGCTATGACAGGCTGTTTTGTATATCTCATGCAATCACCCACAAGGAGTCAACTAACCCTGCCAAAAAAAATTATGGTACCGCGTCAAACGAACACATCTCAACGGACAACCGACTCCGCCTGGAAGGGCTCGCTGCCCGCGGGCAAAAAAAATCAAACCCCCTTGGGAACGCCATCCGGTCAGGGATGGACCAACCCTAAATCCGCAGGGCAGCGCGTTGTCATAATACTTAGGCTAGGATGCTTGATTAGGTCAAGGGGGGGAGTACAAGAATGTCGAGAGAAATTGTGTACCCCCTAGTGTTAACCCCCATATAGCCTATCTACACTAAACATGCATATAATTTGGCAACCCACTAGAGGCTATAACATTTGACACACCCCCATAGCCTAAGTGGGGAATGCCAAGCAACAAAAAACACAACCTAAGGTCACAAGACCAGTCACAAGCAAGAGAGAAAACACAGCTCAGGGTGGATCACAACGTCACCACACAGTCTGAGCACAAACAAGGGGCCACAAGGCCAGTTCAAGAGTGTACAAGCTAATATATATGTGATACAAGCAAACAAGAGGCAGGAAAACACTACTGCAGTCTACTAGACCCAGTCTCAACGAGGCCTAACTGCAGACAAAACCGACGGTGGTCACAAGGCTGAAGAGCCTTGGTGAAGATGTCTGCAGTGTTGGCCTCGGAGGCCACGAAGTCCAGACGAGCCTGTCCGCGTCTCTGCAACTCTCGAAGGAGGAAGTACCTGACGTCGATGTGCTTCACCCTGCTCTCCAGTCGAGGCTCTTGACACAGGAGAATCATCGCCTTGTTGTCAGCAAACAAGGTCGGTGTAGAGCTCGGTCGTTCACTCACCAAGGTCAGTGAGCAAGAAGGTCAACCAGCGTAGCTCCTGTGCAGCAAGGGCTCCAGCGTAGATCTCAACCTCTGCGGTAGAAGTCGCAACAGAGGAAGACCGAGTAGACCTCCACGAAACAGCTCCAGAGCCTAGGCTGAAACAGTAACCCTGCGTAGACCTCTGAGTCTCAACGTCGTCGGCGTACGAGGAGTCGCAGTGACCGGTGAGTACAACTGGCTGTGTCCCTCCAAGTACAAGCCCCATGTCCGATGTCGCGCCGAGGTACTTCGCCACCCTCTTAGCAGCTGTCCAGTGAACAGGACGGTGTCTCCCAGTCGCAACAAAGCGAGAAAGGATGCTAAGAGGGAAGGCGAGGTCCGGGCGAGTGCACGTCATCAGGTACATGAGGCAGCCCACCAGCTCTGCGTAGGGACCACTGGGCTCGAACGGCTCGTCAGGAAAAGGCCCAGTGAGTCTGTGGTCTACAGCAAGAGGGGTGGGTGCAGGAGTGGAGTGCTGAAGCCCGAACCGCTGAAGGACCTGCTGCACCATGTGTGACTGAGTCAGAGTGATGGTGCGAGCGGCTCTGTCCCTGGAGGTCTGTAGGCCAAGGTAGCGGCGCAGTTCCCCAAGGTCAGTGCAGGTGTGTCTCTTCTGCAGTTCGGACTTCACCTCCGCCAGTGCAACTGTGTCGGCTGTGGCAAAAACCAAGTCGTCAACGTAGACCAGAACGAAGAAAGGTGTGCGCCCACGACGAACAAACAGCGACGGGTCGGCGGAAGACGGCTGAAACCCGAGGTCGGACAGAGTAGAGCGGAGAGTGTCGTGCCACTCACGGGGTGCCTGGCGGAGACCGTAGACCGGTCGTCTGAGGCTCCACTGGGTCCCAGGCGGGAAGGTGCCAGTGAAGCCCGGAGGACGACGCAGCCAGATCTCCTCGTGTAGGCTGCCCTGCAGGAAGGCGGTGGAGAAGTCGAGGGAGTGTAGCTCGTAGTCCCTCTGTGCCGCTACGTGAAGTAACACCCGAAGAGTGGTCATCTTCGGGGTGGGCGCGAAGGTCTGAAAGAAGTCAACCCCCTTACGCTGACTAAACCCTCTAGCCACGTAACGTGCCTTGAAGACTGGGGGAGATCCCGGCGGCCGCTTCACCTTGAAGATCCACATGCTGTCAACGATGTTCGCCCCTTGGGGGGGAACCTCGTCAACGTAAGTGCCTGTAGACCTGTAATAGGCCATCTCTGCGTCCATGGCAGCTTTTCACTGCGAGGCCCAAGGCCCTGACACTGCCTCAGTGTAAGTGCGAGGAGTAGGTATGTCAGGAGCGTCGGGGTCTCCCTCAGGGGAGAGGAGCATGGCACAGAGATGAGGCGAAGCAGCTGCCAGGAACTCTAGCTCAAACTGTCTGTCCTCTAGGACGTCACAGCCAAGGGCAGACTCACCCCCGGCGGACAGAGGACGGACAGGAGGAGCGGCCACAACACGAGTGGCGTAGTCAAGGCGACGCGTAGCAGTAAAGTCAGTGACAGCGGCAGTGAGGACCGCGACGGAGGAAGGAGAGGCACGAGGGTCTGTAACAAGAGAGGCGAGAACACGAGAGAGAGTGGGGCGGTACGTGCGCTAGTAGTCAGGGACCAGAGTGGACAGGGAGGCAGTGAGGGACGACTCAGGAGGACGAGGAAGAACAGACTGAGGAGGACGAGGAGGACTAGAACGAAACAACACGGTACGGAGGTCAGTGACAGGTGACGAGGGACGAGCACGAGGAGGACGAGAGGTCCAAGTGTGGGTGAGAGGAGGGGGAGACGGAGGAGACTGAGAACGAGGGAACACAGCCGGAGCTGAGTCCGGAGGAGGAAACGTAGGACCGAACACAGGACGAGAGGAGGGGAGACCAAGGGCCCGAAGGCCTGAAACAAGGGCCGGAGGCTGCTCCGGCTGCTGTGGCTGCTGCTGCTGCTGCTGATGCTGATGCTGCTGCTGCTGCTGCTGCTGCTGCTGCTGCTGCTGCTGCTGCTGCTGCTGCTGCTGCTGCTGCTGCTGCTGCTGCTGCGGCTGCTCCCGCTGCAACTCCAACCTCTCACGCTCCACATGCTGCTGGACCTCCGACCTCTCACGCTCCAAACGCTGCTGCTCCTCACGCTCTAGACGAAGAAGGGCCTGGTAACGAGTCGGGTAAGGGTGAGGAGGAGGAGTGGTGTCAGGAGACGCAGCAGAAGAACCTCCTCCGTCCTCGACAGTACCCGGCTGAGCACCCCCAGAGCGAGTACCTCCCGCGGCAGCACGACCAGCACCTGTAGGAGGTGTACCCGCACCCCCAGTCGTGGTGCCTCCAGTGGCACCAGCACCAGCCCCAGACTCTCCAGCTCCAGAAACACCACCAGCTCCAACACCGCCACCAGCTCCAGTACCCTCGGAACGGGCAGCTGCGGCAGGTGCACGCTCAGCGCCAACGCCAACACCCCCAGAACGGGCGGCTCCTGTAGGTGCACGAACAGCTCCAACGCCAGCACCCCCAGAGCGAGCACCGCCAGAGCCCTCACCTCGAGCACCAACACCCTCAGAGTCCGCAGTGGCCGGCAGAGGAAGCGCTGACGGCTGCTGCGGAGGCTGTGAGGATGACTGAGGGGAGGGAGGAGAGACCTGGGGGGGTACCGAGGGGGGGGGAGTAGCGTGGGACACACCAGACGGAGCGGGAACAGGGGGGGGTACCGGAGGAGCAGGGGCGGGAGGAGGAGGAGCTGGAGCCAGGAAGAGGGGAGGGGGGGGAACCGGGAGACCTCGACAGGGGTACCTGACGTAGTAGGGGACGGACTCGTCGAAACGGACGTCACGAGAGTCAAAGAACCGGTGGGAGGGAGGGTGGTAAAAGGTGAAGTCGGAGGAGTCATCTTGGAAATCAAGGAAGACACAGGGGACGGCGCGAGGTGAGATCTTGTCCGCATTGGTGTCGCGGACAAGAGCCAAGCACCCCCAGACACTAAACCTCGACGCAACACCAGGGGACCCTGTCCAAAGACTGGTCGGTGAAGCCCCTGGCCGTGAGACGCGAGGCCAGAGGTTCAACTGGTGAGCGGCGTACCGAGCCGCGTAGGGCCACAGAAAATGGGGCGCGCGGGCGTGGATCATGGAGGTGCGGGCAATCTCCATGACCAGGCCTAGGTGGCGCTCAGCAACCCCATTCTGCTGTGGAGAGTCTGGAAGAGTCCAGGACTGGGTGATGCCCTGCTCAGCACAGAATCCGGCGAGAATGCTGGAGCGAAACTCACCCCCACGGTCGGAGTGGAGA